AGTGAAGCGGACGAATACGGCTATTCATTTTATAAAACTCAGTTCAGTTGGTTCAATTTTCTGTAACTGAGATGCAAATATCTAAAGTCACAAACCTCAATCATGCAAAAATGCCATAACGGATTTGAATGAAGTTTTGCACAGGGATGCTTTGTAGCCTGGTCAAATACATGGAACGCTTTTTATTATGGTAAAAGACATGACCCAGGCAGGTATATTTGCTCTTTTTTTTTCAAGCCGGCTGCCGAACCTCCTACGAGGTCCCCGCGCCTACCCGCGACCTTACCTACTAAAGAACTCCCCTGCACTTTTCGCCTAAGCGTCCGATCGCCTCCGAGGTCCCTCCCTCGAGGATCGACTCCGAGGTCAGAAACCGGAGGAGATAAGGGGGTTACCGCGGTCAACACTACAACCAGACGGCGCAGCTCACCCCAAGGACGCCTGGCCGATGGAGTCTTCAAGAGAATTGAAGGCTCTGTAACGTCGGCCATCCCGTTACGGCAGCCCGTCAGGCCGCCCAGACGGTGTCGCTGGGGTCCCGGAATGCCCTGCTGGACCAGAACCAGCTTGCCGGCCCGGGATGCTAACCACCGCCAACCAGCTGTTGCTCTTTTATCTAGAAGATATTACTCCATGGCATTGCGCTAGAGCGCCGCGCAGCGTCAACCCGCTCAGGTCGGCCATTGATCTTTACCAAAAAAAAAAAAGTATATCTGCTCTAATAAATACGACAGCCTGTTCGTGATTTGAAGTAGGTACCAACACATCTGCTGAACGACTCTTAGCTTATGGACCACAGAGTGACTGACACAAGAAAGTGTTTATCGGGAATTACTATTTTTTTAATTTACAAATGTAACGTTAACGAAACCACTTGCCACTTCTAATACATAATAAAGCCAGATACACACGCTAGTACTCACTCAATGGTTACCGTCAGAATCAGAATTTCCACGCCACATCAGCGCTATGAGCAAACATTGTTTGTTCAACCGAAAATATATTTTTTTACTTATTTTCTGTTTACGTTTCCAATCTAAATTTAGACTATGGGTTAACGCTTCAATGTTTACAGTCTGAGATTTTTTACTGATGTCAATAGCTTATTTTGCTCACGTGAGAAAGAATGAAATACCCGGAAATAAAGAGGGTGAGGCAAGAGAGCGCTTTGAGGAATTATTTGAGGTGATCACGGGATGATGGCGGCATCATCGTCTTATTTTGGCACTACTTGAATAAAGTTCCCGTAAACAGGAACAGGAAATAGACATTCACAGTCCGCTCTCAGAGATATTTTTTGCCACGCACCGTCCGACTTTGGAAAAGACGAATCTTCAAAGTACTTCCTGAGCGCTACGATATGTTCTGCCTCTAACTACACATCGTTGGCCACTCGTCTATAGATGAACATTCTTGTCTGTCTTTGATGAAAGGTAAAAATATTTAAGATAAAGGACATCTAAGCCGAATAAAAGAGCCACATAGCTTGTTCACTGATCGTAGAAGTCACCGACTAAGACGCCAGATTGCCTCTAAAATACATTGTAGGTATGAAATAAAGTATCTATCCCACGCGCATTTTTTTTTACAGCTTAGATGGATGGATGAGCTCACAGCCCACCTGGTGTTAAGTGGTTACTGGAGCCCATAGACATCTACAATGTAAATGCGCCACCCACCTTGAGATATACGTTCTAAGGTCTCAGTATAGTTACAACGGCTACTCCGCCCTTCAAACCTAAACGCATTACTGCTTCACGGAAAAAATAGGTTCAACGGTAGTATCTACCAACCAACGGTGGCACCAACAGTGGTAGCTACCCGTACGTGCTCACAAGAGGTCCTACCACCAATACTTACGCAAATTATAATGGGCATGTGCATGTCTACTGGACACTCTTTTTTATGGGTAATTGATGAACCTTAATGGCAGTAGTAGAACTCAGGCGTGGATCCCGCGACACGGCTACAGACTGCTATAAGGATGAAGAGCTAATCCACATTCCTTTCTTATCAGCTTGCGATAAATACCCAAGAAAAACCATAATACGCCTTACCACTACAAATTTAAAAACGATAGTTTTTAATTACTTTTGTTTAATTATGCTATGGCTAATTAAGTGACAATGAACCACCATATATTGTGTATACGAAACGTAAGGTACCAGCCGTGAATCAACATTCAAGAGACTGAATATCAAACGGCTCTTCTGTTGTCGATAAACGTGTGAATAGTGTTTTGTTTTATTACTAACAGTCAGCTTCAGGTAGTTCAACTCTACTCTCTAAAACCCCGTTTACATTTTTGTATTGTCAATATTTTTCATTCCGATCCAATGCTACTAAACAAACAGATTAAGTTTTTTAAATCGATATTTGATTAACGGTATTTCTTATCACTATTGCATGGGTCTCTAGAATGAGCAGCTATCATTTATGACCTAAATAAGATAAGATTGATACATTCGGATTACAAAGACGCAAACAAAGCATCTCCTATATTAGGTGGCCTGTATTACAACGACATCATAAAAATAAACTTTAGTTCAAATAAACATGTTAAAGTATTTTCGACCTAATAGAATAATCTTACTTTTTTGTTGATTTAACAGCTTTATTTTTGGGTGATAAACCTCACCCAAAGAGTTCGGTGTTCTCTATGATAGCTTATCATAAGGTGGGCCAATGAGTCACTCGTAGTTTTACTAAGTTATAGGTGTAAATGATGCAATTTGTGGGCCGACAGAGTTGACGAGGTTTAACTGATGTTGCCTCAGATCACGCCTTACCGTATTGTGGTAACTAAAACAAACATCAACCTGTATGTGTATATAATAATATAATAATCCCTGTATATGTTTGGTAAAACATACATATTTGCAAAGTAAGCACTTTATTTAATAACTCTAAAACAAATCTTTCCGTGATAGGAGATTTATTTGGAATAACCTAATTGAATGTTAATACTATTAATATTTGCATTACAAATTGACAGTCTCTGGTTAAAGAACTATTTTGTTCTATGGCCTTTGAAGGCTCATCAGCATACAGCACACATGATGGTAAGTGGCAGTCTTTGCTCAAGGATCTCGGCAATGTCAGAGGCATATCTAAGTCGCTGTGTACCGCTGTGTACCCTCCGCAAGCCTCGTTTGAAGAGGGATATTTCATAGAGCTCAGGAACGCCATAGAGAGGAGTTAATTCCAGTGCCGGATGATCCGTGAGAAAAAATATCTCTGGAAACACACTCTGAATGTATGCAGCTGTACTGGATAATACGGATGAACTCTGTTCCAGTGATGGGGGCTTTAATAGTAAAAGGGGGATGAAGGGATCATTTACAACATGACACGACAATCCAAGGGACCTTCTTTTATTTGAAGTCAAATGGAGCTGGTACCAGGAAACCTCGGCCCAAAAGTGGGAGCAGTACTCCACGCGAGGTCACAATTGTGCTTTGTAATGCACAAGTCTTTGTCTAGGCGTAAAATATAATTTCGCTCTGATGAGGACTTTCAACGTTTTAGAACCGAATTTTGTTTTACTTTCCAAATGACACATCATTGGAACATCGCTCGAAACAGCGACCCAAAGAATCCAAGTAATGGCGGTAGGCTGCAGGGATACTCCTTAGAATTGCAGTGCTATGACTAAAAGGTACTTTTTCGCAGTAAACGCCCAAACTTGTATATTCATGAACTGAACTAAATTCAGTATCCAGTGTCAGTCACCAGTGTTTGTTGCGACCCGCAACGTGCTCCTCAAAAAAAGAACAGAATAATTCTGACGATATAATCCCTATAGCACCACGTAAATCGGTCCGCACAGCCAAGATCACTGACTTATATTTGCTATATTACTAACTTATACCACCAAACTCTTCGACACCCAATCGTCGTTCGACGCACGGTATGAGAGGTGTATGATGAGAGATGTTTGGCAGAGATTAAATGATTTAAGTAAGGCGCCGGCTCCCACGCTGTATCTGGCTTGGCGAAGGGTTAGCAGAAGGTCCAACAAAGAAGGATCATACCCCTCAATATCTGATACACGTGTGATCTGTATCTGCTGAGAGAGACCGTAAGATAAAGTGTTGACTCTTAATCTCATAGAAGTCATACACTAGACAGCCAGACTCGGAGGTCAGTGGTTCTGGCCCTGAATTGGTCCTGGTGGTGAGTGTAAAGTATCCAAAGATCATCACTGCTGCAAATGAGTACTGCTCTAGCACGCAGTAAGTCCCCTCTTGTAGCTGCTCAACCAGAATTAAGCCGGTATTGCTGCTGTATCACCTGCACAGGCAACAGAGACCGTTTAGTGGGTATCCCCCATCAGTAAACCGCTTCCAACGAGTTCACAAACACGTCTGCTCCGCGTGCTTCAAGCATCATTTGAAATGTTTAACAAGGTCAAACTTTAAATTATAATTAAAATTCGTTTTCCCACCAAACTAATTTTTTTGCTTTTTTTTTTAGTAAAGGTGCGACAGAGTGACTCCGACTTTACTCTTGACAGATGAACTATATTATTATAGGCTCCATGGTTTGTTCATGTTATATGCATTAGGGCATTACTTATCTGATAAGGTAAATTTCTACTATTAAGCAGCCAAGTTTGAATGGGCGAATCAATGATTATATAATTGAGACTTCAACTTTCGAAGTAAGTAAGAGCATTCACGTTGTCCATGGACTCCAGTAATGACTTAACACAGAGTGGGCCGTGAGATCGTTTCGTAATTACTGCAATAAATAAATAAATAGATTGCGTCCGAATATAAAAAAAGAAATTCTCATTAAAGGTAAGAAAAACATTTAAAATCGCAAAATCATTCGACAGTTGCAATTCCGCGATCAGCCTTAACAAGAACCGACTTCAATAATGACAAACTCTGTCCACTATTAGTGTTGAAGCACTGACAGGCTGTGCCTAACGTGATAGTTACTGCCAATTTACATTGTATTTTTTTTAATAATTGATTTAATTAGTAGTGTGAAAAATGTCTGTCAAGGAAGTTAGCAATGACATTAAAAAACCCGGTGAGTTAATTTCTAAGATAGGTCTAGCCACAAATATTTTAATACAAAAAATATTTTCGTGATAAACATGAATTTAAAACAGTTTCACAATCGTGTTAGTAATCGTTGTATTCGTTATTTTACATTTAATAAGAAGCAATAATTTAACAAGGGATTCTCCAGGAGTAGACTGTCTTATCTCAGGGCTCTCTTCCAGAGAACCTTGAATCTAACAGAATTAATTGAAGACTCCGCATTTTTTTAATTTCTGTACACTCGAAATAATTTAATATACATACAAATTAATATTTATTCCTAAATTTTTAGAAACGTTTTCGACTTATTCGAATTTTTTAAAACGTATTAAGTAAATATTTAACCAATTGTTGAGAAAAAATAATTTATTTTACAACATTTGCATTGCTAATAACTGAGAAACAATTTACTATTAGCGGATGGGTGGCGCATTTACGTTGTAGATATCTATGGGCTCCGGTAACCACTTAACACCAGGTGAACTGTGAGCTCGTCCGACCATCAAAGCAATAAAAAAAAGACGTCGTGATCCCGAACTGACTCATCGTGGCCTAAAGGATAAGACGTCCGGCGCATTCGTGTTGAGCGATGCACCGGTGTTCGAATCCCGCAGGATACCAATTTTTCTAATGAAATACGTACTCAACAAATGTTCGCGATTGACTTCCACGGTGAAGGAATAACATCGTGTAAAAATCAAACCCGCAAAATTATAATTTGCGTAATTACTGGTGATAGGACCACTTGTGAATTCGCGCGAGTAGGTACCACCACCCTGCCTATTTCTGCCGTGAAGCAGTAATGCGTTTCGGCCTGAAGGGCGGGGCAGCCGTTGTAACTATACTGAGACCTTAGAACTGATATCTCAAGGTGGGTGGTGCATTTACGTCATAGATGTCTATGGGCTCCAGTAACCACTTAACACCAGGTGGGCTCTGAGCTCGTCCACCCTTCTAAGCAATAAAAAAGGTCTTGCTCTTGAGTTATCAAGAAGTGTTGTCTATTAAATTCTTTATTTTTGTTGTGAAATGTCCGGAAGTTGCCAGTTATTTTGGATTTAAGTGGTAACAAAAGCCTATAGACGTCGTAGAGATATGTCTCGTCTCAAGTGTAGTGTATTAGCCTTCTTATCGTAGCTGCCGGAAACTACGTACTCGATTTAGACGATAAAACGGTAAACAGTCACCGTCGCCCCGAGCATCCTCTTGATCCACTATCGGTGCTTCCATACATTGTTACCGGTGGTAGGACCTCTTGAGAGTCCACGCAGGTAGGTACCACCACCCCGCCAATTTCTGCCGTGAAGCAGTAATGCGTTTCGGTTTGAAGGGTGGGGCAGCCTTTGTAATTATACTGAGACCTTAGAACTTATATCTCAAGGTGAGTGGTGCATTTAAGTCATATATGTCTATGGGCTCCAGTAACCATTTAACACCAGGTGGGCTGTGAGCTCGTCCACCCATCTAAGCAATAAAAAAAAATGCATTCCAAGCACGGCCCACCGTTCTTATCGCACCCGTTCTCATTGGGTTCGTCGTGAAAACTATCCCACAGACACAGCCCACTGAGTTTCTCGCCGGATCTTCCCAGTGGGTCGTCATGAGTGACTATACGTTCGGTGATACTAACATAGCCCCTCGACGCTACTACTCGTAGCAATAAATACTACTATAAAAAAAGTATTACTCCTGTTTTGCTCTCCTCACTGGAAACCATGTCAGGATTCTAGCATAGATATTAAAGACTAGGCCGCTTGGACTTACATCACGATATTACTATCAATATTTACATCGTATTATTAAGTTTTGTTTTTAATTCTCAATGCGTATTGTTAATTATGCATTGATCGTTCGAGTCATTCCTCACGTCTCGGAGTATTCACCGAAGTTGACGCCGTAGGGCTTAGGAATCCATGGATCCACTTGATATCTTAAGGTTTTGATAACTGAACATTGAAATATTATTATAATAGCTAATTCGTTCAAATTATGATATCGGTAAGAAGGCTTGGGTGCGGAGAAATAAAATGCATCTATGAATAAAATACTCACAATCCGATTCAGTTTGCTTCAGTGCTTGGGTTTAACTGGCAACAACAAGGCCAATTGATATCATAATGTGAAAGCGACCCATATATTATTATAATCCCTACTTCACCCTTAAAACGAGAAGCATTCACTTCGCGAAAAAAATAAGAATGACGCTGGTACGAACCTGTGTGGATTTACAATGCGCCTTAACGGACAATACGGAAATTTAAATTTTATTGGTTCCATTAGTATATTTATGTACATTAATATAAGATTTAATTCATTTTTTTCTAAGATTCTATTTCATTTTAAAATTGTCATTACTACTAATATTACATGCCAATATTATCTATATATTAATAAGTGAAGCAAAAACTTTGTAGCCCTTTTTACAAAAATTGGGCGGACGGAGAAGTATGAAATTTCCCATACTTATAGAGAATATAGAGAAGCAGTGCAGAATGCTAATATTTTAATAAATTATGCATAAAACTACATAAAATCAATAAAAAAACATTACACACACTACCATGTATTTGACACAACAGATATACATAACATAAAATCACTCAAATAATAATATGCTCTGAGGAATTGTTCAAGATGATACCATCATCTCGTTTTTACCATCGCACCGCCCACCACCGAAGTAGAGTTCATCCATACTACCTGGAGCCACTGCGGTCATCCACAGTGCGTTTCCAGAGATCTTTTTTGCCACGTACCATCCGGCTATGAAATGAGCTCCCCTCCACGGTGTTTCCCGAGCGCAATGACATGTCCTTCTTCAAACTAGGCTTGTGGAGAGTATTAAGCGGTAGGCAGCGGCTTGGTTCTGCCCCTGGCATTGCTGAAGTCCATGGGCGACAGTAACCACTCACCATCAGTATGCACGTCTGACTACAAGGGCAAAAAAAATATATTTGCACAATCAAAATAATAGTGAACAATTGGATCCATCTCCGTAATCTAGATGCGCATGTTTGCAGATAAGTTTACAGCATTTGCATCACTGCGAGACTTCACTTTCGTGGGTGATTAGGGTTACCTTATTCCAATCTAATTAATATCTTAACCTCGTTTCTGAACGTAGGCATATCCGTTCTAGGACCATAAAAAACAAATTTGATTATCTGAACTCGAATTTAACCCATTTTAGTTGAGTAAGTGGCTCGAACGCTGTGAACGTCATTCGTGTGGCTAATTTGCGAAACATTACGAACAGGATGCCGGCGGTAGGTAGGTTCGTATACACTCCACGTTACATTGTGAGCTCGCTGGGTAGGAAACACAATCCAGTCTTACAGCCGATATATGTCACGAAGTTATGAAGTGTTTTAGATTGGCGGACCGGATCAGCCACTCCAGATTTTTCTGAGACTTTCGACCCTAAGTGCGGGGTCCCCTTCTACAATTAGCATAGATGCTATGATGTTTATTAATCTATATCTATATATATATAAAATGAATTGCTGTTTGTTAGTCTCGCTAAAACTCGAGAACAGCTGGACCGATTTGGCTAGTTTTGGTCTAGAATTATTTGTGGAAGTCCAGAGAACGTTTAAAGTGGTGGATAAAGGTAATAAAGGTAAAGGTGGATAAATATGAAAATGTTCGGAATTGAATAAAAATAACAATTTTGTTTTCTCTTTGATGTGTCCCCCGTCGGACGGATTTCTTTTATTTGTTTCAAGTTTATTTTATACAAATGTTTATTCATCGATTGAGGTACTACGAAGTCTGCAGGGTCAGCTAGTGAATATAAAATATTAACGTAAAGATTCACATACAGGCCCGTATCTGTGTGCGAATATAACATTACTAGGCAACGGGAGAGTAAATATTTGTTTTATTGGTAACATTTGCTCGTTATGTCCGACCGTTGAATTTTATTTACATTACACATGAACATAAACTCGAAATTTTTGTTTCTCAAAAACTTAAATCGAAAACAGTTGGCACAGTTGGAGGTTTCATATCAATCATATTATATTCAAATCGAATTCAGCCACCCACATCGATCACCAATCTGCATTGTCATCATCAATACGTGTTACTAAGCAGTAGAAACCAATGTATCTGTACACTGAAGATAAGCAATAATAATCAAATCAAATCAATTATTTTTTTTATCCAACATAAATAAAAATGCATACTTGTTGAACGTCAAAAAGAACTACCGCCAATTCACAAATAGAAGGAGTGCACAGATCTGTGAAAGAGGGTAATAATTGTATTAAAAACTAGCGACCCGCCCGCGCTTCGCTTCGGGAACTGTAATTTATTATTGATCTTATTGAATTTTCTATCTTCACCTGTCATGATATCGCGAACTCGGTTGTTTATAGTCACAACTATCCAAATGTTTGTCCAAATGATGTAGTGTAATAGACAAAGTTTGTAAACTTTAATTACCAGATGCGATAAAAGTATTTAATTTAATATAAGGATCGATTTGAGACTACCAAATGTGCGTTTATAAATTAACATATTTTATTGCATTTTTGGTTCACTATTTTGGCGATAATAGCTTATACATAAAAGAGAGATATAATATTATGGTGTAGCGGGCTTTTTTGTAGAACTATTTATGATAAACATTTTTATAAATCATTATAATTATACGTCTAGCTCCAAATGTTTTTGTAGCGTACGCTGGAATAGCTCGCAGATGGTAGATTTTTTTTACTTGCTTGACACTTATCGTTATATTTTGGGTAATTCCCACTGTTTCTTTATACATTATAGCTTATGTATTATACTAATGTGTAAGCTATATTATTATAAAGTTTCATCAAAATACATTCAGTAGTTTTTGCGTGAAATAGTAACAAATATACATCTATACATTCGTACAAACTTTCCCATTTATAATATTTAATTAATCGGATAATAATAGAATATGTACTAGACATTTTTTTTAAATATTTTCTACTGGTCGATCCTGGATTTTCATCTAGTAATTTACACAGTTCAGAAAGTCTCTGTCTTTTACATTTTCATGCCCAAGCCTCTTAACCGATTGTTTTGAATTTTAGGACACAATATATACATACCTATACTAGCACGAATATAAGCCCATAGGATATAAAATGTAGCCCACGAAGCACGTAGGCGAAGCTGTGGACGAAAAGCTAGTTGAGGAATAAGGAAGAGTTATGTTATATAAGAACTGTCTTACTCTTCCAAGCCGGCATGCGTGTCTGCTTGTCAGCAGTAATAGATAGGATAGTGGCAGCTATTCTTGTTGTCCCACAATATATACCATCACACCACGTCGTCGTGGCCTAAACGATAAGACGTCCGGTGCATTCGTATGTAGCAATGCATCGGTGTTCGAATCCCGCAGGCAGGTGCCAATTATTCTAATGAAATACGTACCTAAGAAATGTTCACGATTGACTTCCAAGGTAAAGGAATAACATCGTGTAATAAAAATCAAACCTGCAAAATTATAATTTGCGTAATTACTGGTGGTAGGACCTCGTGTGAGTCTGCACGGGTAGGTATCACCACTCTTCCTATTTCAGCCGTGAAGCAGTAAAGCGTTTGGGTTTGACAGGCGGGGCACCCGTTGCACTGTTAAAGTGAGACCTTAGACTGATGTCTTAAGGTCGGTGGCGGCTCCGGTAACCACTTAACACCATAGGCCGAGAGCTCGTCAACCCATTTAAGCAATAAAAAAACCCTAATCCAGCAAGTGAACGTTTCTTTCATTTTGTAGTTAGTAGTGGCGTCTTGTAATATTTGGGTACCTCATGAGCTCACTGAAAGAAACCTAATGAACCGTGTACTCATTTGTGATTCTTTATTACGACGTAATGAAACCGAACCATTTTTGAAGAAGCTGATAACTGGTGATGAAAAGTGCATCACGTACGACAAGAACGTGCGAAAAAGGTCGTGGTCAAAGGCCGGTCAGGCTTCACAGATTGTGGCAAAACCCGGGTTAACTCGCAATAAGGTGATGCTGTGTGTGTGGTGAGATTGGAAGGGCATTATTCATTATGAGCTATTACCACCAGGCAGGACCATCGATTCTGAACTCTACTGCGAACAACTGATGAGATTAAAGCAAGAAGTTGAGAGAAAGCGATCGGAATTAATCAACAGAAGGTGTGTGGTTTTTCATCATGAGAACGCTAGACCTCACACATCTTTAGGCACTCAGAAAAAATTAATAGAGCTTGGCTGGGGGTGTTAATGCATCCGCCGTATAGTCCTGACCTTGCACCTTCAAATTTCCACCTGTTTCGGTCTCTTCAGAATTTTTTAGGCAGTGTCAGGTTAACATCACAAGAGGACTGCCAAAACCAATTGTCGCGGTATTTTGATCAGAAGCCCCAAAATTTCTATAGCAATAGGATCATGTCTCTACCCACAAGATGGTAAAAAGGTATCGAACAAAATAGTACCTACATACTTTAGTTAAATGTAAATAAACTATATTAAAAAATGTTGTGAATTTTCTTAAAAAATGCAAAGAAACTATTTCCCCAACCCATTATAACAACACGCCACGCTCGTACATTAATTTGAATAAATTAGTTTTCGAATTAATACGTTTTGTACAAATGCTATTTAGTTGAAAGAACAATAAAAACATTTAAAGGTGTTTCATATTATTATTTGAGCGGGTCGTAGATCAGCGACCCTAACTACCGCAGGTTTCGAGTTCTATCAGTTTATTTATGTTAAGTACTCGTCATTCCGGGTTGGGCTGTATTTGTCTCATCTCGTATGCTCTGTAAGCCATTTGTTCCGGTTTTTCCTCGGGCCTCCTCCGGTTTCTAACTGAAGTAGGCTCACCTAGTCTTTCTATGAAATTTAAAATGTTTATTTTACTTATAACGTAAGCGTTGTGTTGTAGTTATTACTCAATCGGTTCTTAAAGATATGGTCATCGTAGCATGATCCTATCACACGTACATATGTACTTGGGCGGGTCACCCGTCGAAGATTGGTCACGTATCAAAAGTAGACGTATTGTACTTGGCATTTTGTGATTACTGGAGCCTATAGATACGAAATCTTGAATGTCGGCACCTGTCATCCACTTCAAGATATCAGTCAAGTTTACTGTCTGCAAGATTAAAACAAATAAGATCAATATTATTTCTTAGTACGAGTATAATGATGGGATTAAAGCAGTTAATGCATTTTGTTGGAGCACAACAACAATTTTATTGTCTTGTTTTGTAGTAACTTTGATAATGGCAACAAGGAAAATTGTTCAAGGCGAGAATCTGTAATTCAAATTAGTTTTTTTGCATAGAGAATTATTTTACATTTCTTTGTTTTACCTATCATGTGGTAATAAAAACCACACCGATAATACAAAAGAGTGGTTCAGATGAAACCAGTCCAATCAACAAATGACCCAAAAAAAGTCTTGAGCCGAAGATTAGGTTATGGATTTCGTTACTCTAGTGAGCCACATCATCATAAGAGAGACTGATTGGCGGTGTATCGCTTCTCGACCTGGAAGGCTAGTTCTAGTCCAGCAGGGGTATCTTGGGACACCAACACATCTGGGAGACCTGACGGGCCATTGTACCGAGACGGCCGACACTTCGGAGCTTTCAATTTGACACGAGGGCTTCGTCAATCGGGCGTCTTTGGAATGTGCCACGCGTCTGTTTGCAGTATTGACCGTGGTAACTTCTTACCGTGTCTGAGTTCTAATTCGGGTGGCATCGCACGCTTGGGCAGCGAAGTCGTTTAGTGGGCAGGACTCTAAATAATCTACAGACCGTAGGTCCTACATACCTCGCGAGCTCCCTGGGGGCGGGAATCTGTTAGGGGTTTCGGCCCTCGAACCAGAATAGAAAAGTTATGGATCTCGACTAAATTATGACCCGCTAAAGCGGCGTGTCGAACAAGAAGCCCGGTAATGGCGATTGCGATTTGGAAGCAAGGGTGAAAAGACATGCCCTCCGTTTCAATCCGTCACCTCGCTTACCGCCTGTTGCAATTTAGTTCTGACTCATTCAAGCTACTGAGCAAGATCACCCGGCCTACCGCTCTCAGTGCAAAACTACCATAAAATAAAAATCACTACATACATTGTAACAGTAATTGTGATGTTGAAACCGCATAATAACATAATCCCAGACAAAAATCTCGCAGGTATCGTTTTAGAAGCCCTTCTAAAGTAAATCAGTCTATAATTTAAGTTGAGTAAGCATTCGTGCCTCATAAGTAATACGCCCGGTGTAGTGAAATTGGTTTTTATTGCTAATGGATCCGCCAACATTTTTGTAAAATCAATTCGTAATTACCATATTTTCTTGAATAACTTCATCACGATACAGACATAACATCGTATTAGAAATATCTAAAATTGTTATCAGAACTGTTGTTACAAAGAAGTATGGTATTTGTAAACTTTCTTGGACCAATTCCAGCATTTATAGCATATCCAATATTATACTTTAATTCAGTTCTTTATTTTTACTGCCTAGATCGTTGTACGAGCTCACAGCCCGCCTGGTCTTCAGTGATTACTGGAGCCCATAGACATCTACAATGTAAATGCTGTCACCAACCTTGAGATGGGTTCTGAGTATAGTAATGACAGCTGCCCCTCCCTTCAAACCGAAACACATTACTGCTTCACGGCAGAAGTAGGTAGGGCGGTGGTACCTACCCGTGCGGACTCACAACACGCCCTAGCACCAGTAATTGCACAAATTATAATTTTGCGGATTTCATTTTTATTACACAATGTTATTCCTTCACCGTGGAAGTCAATCGTGAACATTTGTTAAGTACGAATTTCATTAGAATCATTGGCACCTGTCTACGGGATTCGAACACCGTTGCATCGCTAGATACGAATGCACCGGATGTCTCATCCTTTAGGCCACGACGACTTTCAACAGCAAACCCGGTTATTCATATACTGTGATGGTTACACCAATTGTACAATCTTAACAATCTTTCTTAACAATCTCTCCGCTCGGGTAAGTCAAAGGGGTGACTTGGTAGTGGTACTTCAAGAAGCAAAAACTGACTGTTTGTAGTTTTTAGACCCACTCTTGAGTCCAATATATTGATTCCACTCGTCATAAAACCTTAGTAAACATTTTGGTTTCAGATGCAATCTTGGGTATTCGGCATCTTCAAACTGCAATGTTATTCCTGGCAATGGTGTTGGCATATGGAATGCGAGTCAACATTAGCATGGCCATCGTTGCTATGACCGACAAGGACAACGAGGATGTAAGTTGTTAAATATAATGTGTATTTGAAGACAGATCACAGTCCGTCTTCTTTTCTCCGCATGCGTGCAGAGCATCAGTCAAATTTTAATGTTTTTCTATGGTTTGGCTACTGGGATAGAGGCATCTTTGGTACTTGTTTAGAGTAGTTTATTCCAATCTACCTTTACGATATGGTAAACACCATAATATTATAATTAATATTACAATGAAATTCAATACAACACCGACACAAAACAAAATTAAAATAATTTGAAGACGACCATCATAAATTTACAAAAACGTCAAAATTCTATTACAATAATTCGCGTTCCATTTCACTGGCTTGTAATTAACTTGTATTAATTTCAAACTTCGTCAGGCTTATTACATTTTACATTTATACGATTTGCAAATGTTTTGTTAGGGTAAAGAACAAAAAATGGCTTTAATGAATATATTTAAAAACCAACACAACATAATGATTGATATGACGATATGATTGCATATAAAGTGCTATTTTAGCATTCAACAAAGCTTTTGTGTCACAAGTTCCGAAGTGGAGTTTTCTAGAAGTGAAGACTCTGGGACGAGTCTCCGAGTGAGGTGAATTGAACTAAGTTCCTCAATTCTCAGTAACTCAGTTCAGATGAACTTAGCTCAATTCAATCCGTTGAAGACACAAGTTTGCGCGTTAACTGCGTAGAAGGACCCCTTTGTCACGGTGCCGCAATTTCAAGGAGCATCCCTGCAACCTTCCACGAGTATTAGGATATTTGTGGTCGACATTTCGAACGATGTGCAATTTCTGAATCATTTGGAGGGAAAAGCCAAGTTGGCGTCCTAAAAGCTGGGAGTCCTCAACAGAGTGAAGCGGTATTTCACGCCTGGACAAAGACTTTTGTTTTATAAAGCACAAGTCCGACCTCGCGTGAAATACTGCTTCCACCTCTGGGCCGGGGCTCCTAAATACCAGCTACTTCGATTTGACTTCATACAGAAGCGAGCCGTTCGAATTATCAAAAAGAAACGTGGTGTCGTGGGACACCAGGTAGGAACGAAGTTCCTTCGGCTAATGTAGAATCGACACAATTTGCAAAAAAAGAAATGGTGATCAATTTTATGTAGGTTTTCTTGTTTTTTTTTCTCTTAAATTTTGCTGATTAGTTTTCATTTAAGTACGGGAAAGTATTTAGGAAATTCAGTATTTTAGGAAATAATAAATAACGTAAAATAAAAAAAATTGTAATTCAAATTATCAATTAAAATAACAACATATATCTCTTTATTTTTGGTTGACAACATAAAATTAAATAGAAATAGAAATAATTACTAAATAGAGAGAGAGGGGATTAGAGAACGAAAAGAAAGAAGGAGAAAGAGAAAGCTATTATACACTACTCGCTTGTGTATGCGACTGTCGCGCCTGCGCACGTCTCATTTAACGGTTTTATTCCACGCACTTTTTTCCACGGATTTTTTCTTACGGTTTTACTATCACATTTTTTTCAGTTCGGTCGCGCAGCGAAATCCCTATCCCCTCCAAGCCTGCCGTAAGGAACTTCGTTCCAACAATCCAATTCTCACGGATCGCTCGGAACCTCTGGGTCTGCGGAAGGACTTCAGTTCTCTCTGTATTTTTTATCGTATGTTCTAAGGGGAATACTCTGAGGAATTGTGTAAGATGATCTCATCATCTCGTTTTTACCATCGCACTAGAGTAGAGTTCATCCATACTACCTGAAGCCATTGCGTTCATCCATAGTGATATCGATCCGAATATCGTCCATAGTGATCTTTAGCATGACATGTCCTTCTTCAAATGAGGCTTGTGAAGAGTATTTAATGGTAGGCAGCGGCTTGGCTCTGCCCCTGGCATTGCTGACGTCCATGGGTGACGGTAACCACTCACCATTATGTGGGCCGTATGCTCGTCTGCCTACAAGGGCAATATAAAATAATAATAAAGGTCGGGACTAAGAATTGGCTATGCTATGCGTTCAATACCGACCGATATTCTTCAACAATGATGCGCGCGGTGTGTGCATTTTTATTAATTTAGGCTAAAATGGTATTATAAGTAGGTGTAAAATCACCTTTGCACACAGGGGATAATTCATTCTATTATTGTTAAATTCGCGCCAAAAAATTTCATAGAATGCACCATCCTAAGACAATATTTAACTCACATTTGATTGCCTCGCTATACCAGGTATTACGCCCGAATGTCTAAAACTTCAACACGTTAATTATCGTATCACATGCTTTTTGACGCAACACGCTTAAGCACGCATTCGATTGATATCACTTTGGGATCTTATCTTCAGAAATGTCTATTTAAATGGTAAACTCACTGATATTTATTGATTGATGACGTCTTTGAAAGGAAAGCCTTGGCTTGTTTGATTTTGGGTTTTCGTAGAGGAGAATCTGAAAAATAAAACTGCCTACTGGCGATAAAGTTATGTTCAGGTAGACTTTTATTCTGTCACCACAAAATGTGACCCTCAAAAATCTTACACACCATTTTGAAACGTCATGAATCCCATACAAACCAACTAAGTTTATCCCATAAAACAATTAATCAAAGTAAGGTACGTATTTCCTAAAAACAATCTTCTTGAAACCATGACAGTCATTTTTTATGAAAAAAGGATTACTGGTGGCCCAAAAGCCTATCCAGTTTCAATAGGACAGGTGAGCGAGCAAAGGTAGCCCGAGAGCCTCCAAAGGAGACATAACAATTCAAGGGCAGCTGCTTCGCGAAGGAATCTAAGATCAGATCGGAATCCCGACGCATTGAGAAGATCCGGAGGAAAACTCAGCGAGCTGTTGTACGGGTCAGGTTGCGGGAACTCTTTATCGAGTTCGACGAATACGGCTACCAGAGTCCCTAAGTTTGCTTCTCGTGTTAACGCTGACGGCGTCTAAGCGAGTTACTGGATCTTAAGAACGCGTCTAGGTTAGGCTATGCATATGACATGTGCACCACGTCTTCCGTAGTGCACATGACATACGTACGAGTGATTGGTGTGGAATCCGAATTGTTCATCAATTAGAATGCTCTTTGATAAGACGAAGTCTCTGAGGCGTTTTTAGAGCAGGCACTCGTACAGCTTGCCTACAGACATGAGGAGGCTAATCGGGCGGTAACTCGTCGGATAATTTTTCAGCTTACCAGGTTTATATATGCCCATAACCTTCGCTTCTTTCCACACCGCAGGAAAGATACACGTCGTCATAGTGGAATTGAAAATAGATGCCAACATCACAATGAGTTGGGTGGTTAGTAGTAGCGATATGAGTTTGATAATGCGGCTAGGTATACTATCGGAACCGACCACCACAGTACATGTTGTTTATGATAAAAGTATTAAACTGCAAGGAAATAAATTACCCGTGGTGTATGTACCTATGGGTTGAATATATGAAAATTACGTTCTTAAAATATGGTGGCTGAGATTTAAAATTAATAGTAGGTAGTACAAATTACCAATAAACATATTAAGAACTAAAAGTAAAATTGTTTAAAATTACTTTTAAGGATTTATTTCGCTAATACAAACCTCTATTCTCAAATTCTTAATACAAACATGACAGAATGCTCGATATGAGGTTCGTTTTCGGTGGGAGCCTCATCTTTGTCTTAGTTAATTTCACAAACAAACTATGCTTACAGTCCTTCAATTGGAGCATGCAAACCCAAAGCGTGATCCTCTCCTCGTTCTTTTGGGGCTACGTGGTGCTGCAGATACCTGGTGGAGAACTGGCAGCTAAATTCGGAGGAAAAATCCTGGTCATCATTTCACTTGGTGTCAATTCTGTTGTTTCCATGCTCATACCGTTAGCAGCTTATTATGTAAGTATTATTTTTAGCTACAATAATAAGAATTTCTTAGCTATTTATTATATGAAATAAAGATTTAGATTATATGTATTTAAGTAACAGTGTGGCTGTATTTTTTATAGGTGAATACTGTGAGCACAATTCGCATTATAAGTACATATAGGTATACACACTAGTTGTCCCGCAGTAGTCGAAATTCGACTATAATTAATTGAAATTATAGTTTGTACACTATTATGATTATATTGTCAAAGACATACATAGATCTATTATATAATCACAGATTTCGCCAATACTACACTTTAGGTAAATATTAATAAAAACAAACAATATTTAATCTATTCTCAATTTGACCACAGACTATAAACAATAAGAAAAGTTTGACAATAAACAAATAGTATGCATGCGTGTGTGTGTTAAATACATGGTAGTGTGCTTTATGTTCTTTTTATCGATTTAATGCAATTTTTATGCATAATTTAAAATAATATTAACATTCTGCACTCCTCCTCTATATTTTCTATAAGTGTGGGAAATTTCATACTACTCCGTCCGCACAATTTTCGTAAAAAGAGGTACAAAGTTTTTGCTTCACGTATTAATATATAGATAAACACAAACTCAAATCATACTATTGTTTTCATACGTAATGTATACTTGTGAGTGCTCAAGAATGACACCTATGTCATCGTATACAAATCTTATCCGACTGCAACGTGGCAACGAAAAGCCGCCGTCGCCCAAAACATGTCTTGTCGGATCCCTCAGATTAACTCTCCGTGCCTTTAGGCCTCTCAAGCACCGGTCAACGTCCTCATCGAACTCGTCGATTACGACGAAGAGTTCGTCGAGCGAACTAAGCCATAGCCCACTAAGTTTTTCGCCGGATCTGTGGATCAGTGGATCAGTGGATCGCAATTCCAATTGCGAAACACTACTCTTGCTAGGGCTTGTTTTCACAAATTATCTCAGGTTGAACCCGTGAGCTCACCTACACGTCCGGGCGTAGCTAGAATAGCCTCTTGGGCTACCAGCGAATAGGTAGGGATAACAAAAAAATGTATTATATAAAAATAAATAAAATAATAGCTTAGAGAAACTAACAAAATACGCTTTTATAGAAAATCCAACTAAATAAATTTTAATAAATTTTAATTAAGAATAATGTAAGAAAAAATGATTTTATTGTAAAAAAAGCGTGGGGTGCTTGGTACTAGTAGTTTTAAATACTTTATGAACAGCTGATGTGAGGTAGAAGGGTTATTTTGATAATATCCTGAAAATCACCCCACACTTTTTAGTTGAATTTAATTTTTTTTTCTTATATTTTCTTATATATAAATTTCGAGTTAATCCGACGTTTTGAAGGGGGTCAAAATCATGTTCAAAGATTTCGTTACATACTAACATACATATATCTGAAGCTAATAAAAGCGTATTAATAGTATTAAGTCGTTGAATGAGCTCGAATGGCTTTAGGTACTTCTGCGACTATGAGCCAGTAAGCTGTAAAAGCCAAAAAATATAACTGTTTCTCAATAAAAAAGGCATTCCACAGTTGAATCATACAACAACGGTGAGAATGATTAAGTTGCGTTTAATGATATCACTACAAAATTTTTACAATGACAATAGCAAAAAACAGCGTATCCATTTTCATTTTAGCCCGAAAATACTTTTAACGACATTCATGAGTTCTAATGACAAGATAATGACGTGATCAGAATATAATGTCACAACAAATTTTGTATTGTTTTTTTTTTTCAATTATTTAACATAAAATATATCGTAACGCGTACGTATACATTTTAATACACATATAACACAATCTTACGTAAATGGGTCTTTTTACATTATTGATATGCTCATGGTCTTTTTTTCTGATTCTTGTCTCTTTTTAGGGTGGATGGCAGGCGGTGTGTGCTTGCCGTGTACTCCAAGGCTTATCCCAAGGATTCACGTACCCATCCATTCACAACCTTATCGGGAAATGGGTTCCTCTAGAAGAGAAAAGCAGATTGGGCACCATTATTTACGCTGGTAACCATTCTTTCTTGTAATTTATTAGTGTTGTGATAGCATGATCAAGTGGATCCGATGAGCGCACTACTTATGGTTTTGATTTGCGCTGTGCAATAAGACATAGATCACTATTTATGAACTCCTTTTGAACTTATGAAACATCTACGGTGGCCGAATGCCTCTCTGTAACTTACAGTTTAGATATTTTTTAAGCTATTGCATAGCTTCTATCGCGGGCCTTGAGCGCCGCGACTGAATCAAGAAATTCCGTAACGAAAATAACCTGACACCTCCACTTCGCCTACTATGTAGCTCGCGTTCAACACATTCACACGTTGCGCTTGTGTAGTGTTTCTGAATAAGCGCGCGGCGTGACGTCGCACTGCTGCATTCACATCATGAAAAGTCTGCCCATCTCTCTCTCGCGCGGTCTAGGTTATGAGTGTGAAGAGGACAGTTAATGTTTTGCTTTTGTTAATGTTTATAAATATAGCGTGTTCTTATTTTATTGTTGTTTTAATATTAAATTATTATTGTCGATTTATAATTGCATAAGTTGATAAAAAATGCTATGCAACATGCTTTACCGCGGCAGTCTCGGAGTGCCAGACGTGTTTTTTTAAATTACGTGGTCGAATAGATCAGTTCACGGTCCATAGGATGTTCAAAACTTAACTTGTTAGAATGTACATACATATAATGCTCTTAGGATCTCTTCAAAATACTTTTAAAGTTTGTCTTTTTATTTTTTCTTTAAATAATTTGTAGCAGTTTTTATTTCAATTTTATTATTACTATTTTCAGGTGGTCAACTTGGAACGGCTCTTCAACTTATGGCATCTGGTTTCATAGCCCAGTATTGGGGCTGGCCCGCCATATTCTACGTCAACGGTGCTTTAGGTGCCATCTGGACAGCATTCTACGTGTTCCTGGGCTCAGCTTCCCCTCAAACTAGCGGAATGATCAGTGAAGAGGAAAAAATTTACATACAGACCTCTTTGGGACAAGTTGGGGAACCAAAGGTAAGTTGAACATTTTTACCCTTTTGTCTCAAGTCGGGTAGTGCCTACATGAGTAAACCTTAGGTGGGCCATGGGTTCATTAAGTTGTCTAAGCAATAAATAAAACTGATCCATGAGACGTACTTTACCTACCTACCTGCCGTACCTACGTACCTGCCACTGGAGTATCTGCGCTCATCCAGGGTGCGTTTTCAAAGATCATTTTTACTATGCGTCTCACTATGGAGTTAACTCCATTCTCCGGTATTTTCTGAACACTTTTGCTTTCTTCCAATTTCCGGTCTGTTTTATTCGTATTATTTACTGATGTCTATAAGCAAAGATGCCTATACATAATAATATTAATAATGTATACAAAGTCTTAAAGACGTGGTGCTCCAGGGGATGGAATTGTTTATTCCCTCCTTTGAAGTGCCCGTTGGGGGTCGCAGCAGACCCTGGTATAATAATGCCAGCAGGGATGCTGCACACCTCAAGCGGTCCGCATACGTGGCATGGGATAATGCCAGGAGACGTCGGGATCCTAACATCTCAGGGGAAAGGCGGAAATATAACGCCGCTTCCAGGTCCTACAAGAAGGTTATTGCCAGGGCGAAATCGGAGCACGTTGCTAGAATTGGCGAGCGACTGAAGAGCTATCCCTCTGGGAGCCGTGCTTTTTGGTCGCTCGNAAAAAAAAAAAAAAAAAAGTCAAATTTCGAAGTTGTCGTGATCTAAACGATAAGACCCGGTATGCGTATCGAGCGATGCGACCATGCCGATAATCGAATTGTACAGGCAGGTACAATTTCTAATGAACTACCTATTTTATAGGTGATTGCTGATGATTTCGACACTGAAGGAATAATATCGTGTAATAAAAATCAAATCCGCAAAAAATTTAATTTGCGTAATTACTGGTGGTAAGGCATCTTGTGGACCTGCACGGGTAGGTACCACCACCCCGCCTATTTCTGCCGTGAAGCAGTAATGCGTTTCGGTTTGAAGGGTGGGACAGCCGTTATACTGTAGAAGCTAAGACGTAGATCTCATGGCTCACAGTGGGGCCATGATATTTACATAATTGATGTCTATTGGCTCTAGTAACCACAGAGGTGGCGTAAGGTCGTCCACATATTAATGTTTTGAACAATCACTTTGGTTTAATATCATAGCTTTTTTTGTTGTCACAAAAGCAATTTTTAATTAACAACACAATAACACCAGCCTGCTTTACAAAAATGTTCACGCTTACGAGACCTTGAAGATTTTTTATGCACGGATCATTAACATTTTTTAGTATTGTGAATCAACGGCTATTTTAAAATACAATTTTGAATGTGAAATACAATTTTTTACACTTTTATTTTTAACAAAGTTATTTTTTGATGAGCAGATGAGCCAGTTAACTTTTTGATTATAACTGACTTGTTGCATTGATTGACAATTATACGACAGTTTCACGGGAGCCATCATGGAAACTTAACAATCGCGTCAAGAATTTGTTATAAATACTATAATGTAGGTAACCACGATTTTGAAGCAATTTAAAAGTGAGATATTTAAAATCATTGGTATTATTTTCAAATTATTAAGAATGTATATAAATTTCTGAAGGTGTTCAAATTTATATAAGAATGATTATGGCTTTACTGAATTTACGGATGAACCCATATTTATGGCTAATTCTGTTTTGTTTTCTTTTTGTAATTTAGATATTTCTTAAAGAAATCAAATTAATGAAAAACATTTAAAAAAAGGGATTAGGAAAGTTAAAAGCACTTCTGCCTACTTCTGCATGCAAACAGAGTTAGCAGGTAATCAATTTATACACAATCTGAAGCTATCGTGGCCTAAAAGATAAGACGCCTGGTGCATTCGTATGTAGCGATGCAACGGTGTTCGAATCCAGCAGGTGCAGGCAAGTACCAATTTTTCTAATGAAATACGTACTTAACCAATGTTCACGATTGACTTCCACGATGAAGGAATAACGTCTTGTAATAAAAATGAAGCCCACAAATTTATTATTGACGTAATTACTGGTGGCAGAACATCTCGTGAGTCCGCACGAATAGATACTACCACCCTGCCTATTTCTGTCGTGAAGCAGTAATCCGTTTCCGTTTGAAGGGTGGGGCACCTTAGAACTCGTGTCTCAAGGTGGGTGACGAGTTTTAGGTTGTAGATGTAACCGGTAAACACTTAACACCAGGTGGACCGTGACCACGTCCGACGATCTCAGCAATAAATTAATAAAATAATAAAAAAGAAGCCGCTCTTTATCATTCTGTTCTATTTCAGAAATTCAAGACGCCTTGGCTGACAATATTTACGTCAGTCCCCTTCCTGTCGCTGGCTATCGTGCATTGTTGCCAAGCATGGGGCTTTTGGACTCTGATGACGGAGATGCCGTCGTACTTGAAGCAAGTTCTCGGAGTCGATATCAAAGCGGTGAGTGCCTCGGCATTACGTACCGATATTTTGGGGTAAGGAGCTTGTGGCGGATGATGCCTGACGCTTGCCAGTGCATCGTCTTGCAGTAGCAGGCCGCGGTGAATAACCCTTTCCCTCAATCCGTCGCCATCGAGGTGGCGATCGAGATAAATATTTTGATTACTGCTGGTAGGACGTCTTGTGAGTCCGCATGGGTAGGTACTACCACTCTGCCGTGAAGCAGTAATGCGTTTCAATTTAATAGGCGGGGCAGCCGTTGTACTGAGACTGAGGACTAAGAAGTCATGTCTCAAGGTTCGTGACGGCATTTACGTTATAGATGTCTATGAGCTTCGGTAACCAGTTAACATCAGATGGGCCGTGAGCTCTTCCACCTATCTAAACAAAAAAAAAAACTGATTTGACTTATAGCTCTGGGTGTTTCATGCTTTCTCAGTATTCCTATAGGCTCCGGTAATTAATTCATATTATGTCTAATAAAACGAAAGACATAATAGCAGCAGCGATTTAACACAGCGCTCTAACCATTTTATAGCCTCTTTATCCTCCTATACAAACAATAGAAGATCATTTGTAATTAAATAATTATATTGCGTCTCATTTCAGAATGGCGTCATGTCGGCTTTACCTTACCTTGCTATGTACCTGTTGAGTTTTCCATTTGGTTTCCTCTCAGATTACGTACTGAAGAAGGAGTTGATCAGCATCACTGCTACGAGGAAATTTAATAATTCAGTTGGTAAGTCATCAAGCACAATTTCATCAACACACAAAGCACAAACATCAAACACAAGCCGTATCATCCGCGAAAAGGACTAACTGAGTCACTGGCGACCGAGGTATATCTTTAACAAATAGGCTAAAAAGTAGTGGGGAGAGTTTCGCGCAGGACAGGTAATTTGTCAGGATGTCTGTGGATTCGATGTTGTCCTGGGCCATGGGGAGGAATCTGGATTGTAAGTGAGGATTGGTGGGGAGGCTTTTGCCAAGCTGATGCTCAGTTTCTGCCAATCCACCATGGTGACTCGTGACTAGGTTCGGGGTGTAAGGTCGGCCGATCTGCATGGCGACAGGTCGGTGGTCCTAGTTGAAAGAGTTAGTAATATGTGAACGTGTCCACATATAAAATATACTGTTGATTTGAATTTCGCTAATTTTTATAATAGGTTGGAGAAAAAGATATGTAGGTACTATTTTGTTCGATAACTTTTTGCCATCTTGTAGGTAGGAAAATGGTCCCATTGCTATAGAAATTTTGGAGCTTCTGATCCAAATACCGCGACAATTGGTTTCGACAGTCCTGTCGTGATGTTAACCTCCTGATACTGCCCAAAGAATTCTGAAGAGACCGAAACAGATGGAAATCTGAAGGTGCAAGGTCAGGACTACACGGCGGATGCATTAACACCTCCCAGCCAAGCTTTCTTAATTTTTGCTGAGTGGCTAAGCATTTGTGGGGTCTTATCGTCGTTATCATGATGAAAAACGTTGAAATATTTCTCTTCTGTTGATTAATTCCGGCCGCTTTCTCTCAACTTATTGCTTTAATCTCATCAATTGTTCGCAGTAGAGTTCACAATCGACGGTCTTGCCTGGTGGTAACAGCTCATAATGAATAAGCCCTTCCAATCCCAACACACACCGCATCACCTTGTTGCGAGTTAACCCGGGTTTCACCACAGTCTGTGCAGCCTGATCGGCTTTTAACCACGACATTTTTCGCACGTTCTTGTCGTACGTGATGCACTTTTCATCACCAGTTATTAGCTTCTTCAAAAATGGTTCGGTTTCATTACGTCCTAATAAGGAATCACAAATGAGTATACGGTTCATTGAACCGTTCAAATATCGAGCTTTTTGTGTGCTCAGCTTTTTTCAAACGCGCCAAAACTGTTTTGTGGTCAATTCCCAGTTTTTCAGCTATGTCGGATCTACTGATATGCCGATCTTGCTCCACTTTTTCAAAAATGGCATCCATTTTATCTGTAATAGGGCGACCAGAGCGACGTGCATCTTTGACATCAAAATTTCCAGATTGGCGCTTAAACCAAATTTGTGCTACTCTCACAGACACTGCATTAGGTCCATAAACGTCGCAATTTTTTTTCGCGATTTTTTCCTCATTAGATCCACTCATCTTGACAGTACGAAAAATAAATAAAAATCACACATTTTCCTATTTTGAATTTGGAATTATCTTTTTTGAGATTTAAACTTTGAATGATACCAAAACCAGCCAGATACAAATAGAATAGGCAAAGAGATTTTATTACAAGTTCATTTAAACTATAATGCGAAAATACTCTTTCCCCAACATATTATTTTAGATTTTAAGTGATTGTGAATGAACGTGTTGATCCTGTACAATGTATGAAACAACCAATATTCTAAGGCAGGGGATTCTTCATTATCATGACCCGTAATGGTGACATTCTCGTTTATCAAGTTAGGGTGGAGTGAAAGCGTATTAACTTATCTCTAACTCTAAAAACACAACATCTGACTTGCACAATTTTTCGTTTGTATGTATAACCTGATAAAATTCGTTTAATGAAATGCGAACTAATTATCTTGCCTGTAACCTGTTCGCCGTTAATCCAAGCACCCAATAATCCTTACCTCTCACTTGCGCCTCCCCATGAACACGATTTCATGCTTCATAATTGTAATTATACCTTTTGTATGAACAGGATCTAATTTGCCTTCATCAAAGGACTTAAATTAATGCCAATGTATTTCTTGTAATGAGTAGTATCTTATTTGCTGAAAACGTTTTTGCTTAAATTTCTGAAAGGTTTCAGGAATTTCGGAATTTACCAATTACTAAAATGCCTGAAACTAAAACATTTGTATTTTTTTGCTAATTTTCATATACTGTAAATTCAAAGTCTCTGCTGCATACATTGTTTTGCGGTAAATAATAAAAGCTTTATAATGATTACGATCCTATAGCCAACAATTGTAGAGTTAAATACCTTTTCTTACATTTTCTTCACAGGATTATTTGGACCGGCGATAGCTCTAATTGGCTTGTCATATTCACCGGCTGGTAACGTCACGATGGCCGTTCTAATTCTCACAGTGGTGGTTGGGTTGAATGCTGGGCATCTAACAGGCTTTATGGTATGTGGGTTTTTAAGGTTATTGACCTAGGAGAGGTCTAACGGTATAAGTTTAAATGTCCAACTATGTACAGAGTTCTCTCAGGACGGACAAGACGCCGGGATGAACAAGCTAGGGGATTGCTTGTTGGGCTTTATTTTTACATCAAGCCCAAACTCTTGGGGTAATGATCTAATGTGTTTTTATTTCAGTCAATCAATCGAAAGCCAAAAAAAGCGCATATAAAAACATCGTTTTGTTCATTCACAGTTGGTGCACATTGACATGGCTCCCAACTTCGCTGGCACATTGATGGGCATCACCAACTGTGTTGCCAATATTGTATCGATAATTGCGCCCTTAGCCGCTGGAGCAGTACTGAAAGACGAAGTAAGTCTTGATCAATGTATCAAATGATAAAAAGCGCCCAATTAAAATACTTAATGCAAACGAAGGTCCAACAACAGAGTTTTTAATTAAACGTCGCTTTGACAAGATAGTTAGTTACGCTGATAAATACAATAAAGACTGCCTTTTTTTTCCAAATTTGATGGATCTGTTGTCATCTTTGGATTTTTTAGTTAAAACTGAAAGAACAGTCTAATGAAAATCATCCCACATTATATCAGATTTTGTTTATTGATGAGGCGATCTTCTTTTCTATGAGGTGCTAGACAGGAAACAACAATGTTAAAGATGCTACCCACTTTGAGGCACAATGAAGTTTGTTATTCTAGTAAAGTTAGAGCTCGTGATTTCATCTTGACAGAAATAAATATGCTGGTCCATGTAAACCCACTTAAATTTGAATCTCGCATCTCCCAATAATTTGGCATCATGTTGCTAGGTGAATAATCTCTGTTAATCACTTGTCAATAATTGAACGAGAATATTCGAAATAAAGGACTTCAGGCCAAGATAAAGCTTTCAGGTTTTGCAATATTTCCTTAGTAAAGATACTAGCAACATTTTTAAAATTATTGTGTTTTACAGACGGACGCCAACGAGTGGCGCAAAGTGTTCTATATGGCTTCCGCATTGTACATCGTCGGTAATCTGCTGTTTATTTTCTTCGGGACCAGTGAGAGGCAGAAATGGAACGATGTCGATGAAAATGAGTCAAAGGGTGAGAATTGAGAATGAAATAAAAATTAAATATTTATCCTACATATACTCTCGGATGAGCACGGTACCTAAATGGATATAAAAAACTGGATACAACCTGTAGCCCTGCGCTTTGTCTTTAATTTCAAATTTTGTCGTCGTCGTGGCCTAAAGGATAAGACGTCCGGTTCATTCGTATCTGGCGATGCAACGGTGTTCGAATCCCGCAAGTGGGTACCAATTTTTGTAATGAAATACGTACTCAACAAACATTCACGATTGACTTCCACGGTGAAGGATAACATCGTGTAATAAAAATCAAACCTGCAAAATTATAATAGGTACCACCACCCTGCCTATTTTCGGCCGTGAAACAGTAATGCGTTTCGGTTTGAAGGGTGAGGCAGCCGTTGTAACTATACTGAGACCTTAGAACTTATATCTCAAGGTGGGTGGCGCATTTACGCTATAAATATCTATGGGCTCCAGTAATCACTTAAAAAAACCAGGTGAGCTGTAAGCTCGTCCACCCATCTAAGCAATAAATAAAAAAAATTCTATTCCTCAGATATCTTAACGCAGGCGTTTTTTTTTAGCCGCTCTAGAGACACATTGCTATGCCTCCGAAAACTAAATATCGCATTATACCTGAATCTGGCCTACGAGGGAATGAGACATTATTCTTTTGAAGGGTTTCTCTTTCATAGTGAACTGCGCACACGTTTCTTAATAAATTATCAATGCGTATTGACGTAAAGTTTCTGATATCTACTCAATCTAAGATAAACCAAAAATGTGTTATAGATGAATTCATTCATGTATTGAAATTTAAGAATATATAATACTTATGTAAATATTTGTTTCAGATACGACTTCAGAGCAGAGAATAGAAAAAGTTGTATAATTACGAAGATATTAATTAAAAATAAATAATTAATTTAATAGTTAATTGTGTAATATTTGTTAATGTACCTGATCACAAATTTTATTTATTAAACGAATTGTCATACAATAAATAAATTGTTTTATTAACAATAAATGAAAATGTAGTTTTAGCTTTCGTATTCAGGAGAGCATTCTGATTACGAGTAACTTTTTTTTTAGATAAAAATACCTCGCTCTCACATCGGCGTCAGTGTAACTATGTGTGTACACTTAGTCTGCAAATTGGACAAATGATACAAAATTACACTAACAGTACCGTCATGAGCTAGTAAAAGCCATAGACAATGCTGATAATAAAATATAATAAAAAGTTCACTTACAAAAGTGTCCATAAACATACTATAGTATAAAATAGTAAAAGTAATTTAATTTATATAAAAAACACTGGAATATTATGTTAAAAATTTCAACCTGTCGTTGATATATTAAGCATTGTATTTTTCTATTGTTTTTGTTTTTTTTATATCACATGATCAATTGCTGACGCTAAACTATGATTATAAACTAAACTATGACTATACATTGGTGACAGCAGCCATACGTACCTACATACATAAATACGATTCTTCTCTTCTTCTTTTTTTCCACCTTATCCCACTAGGTGGGGTCGGCACAGCTAATTTTTCTCTTCCATTCTCTTCTATCAGCCGTCATCTCAACACTCACTCCTCTTTCTCTCATATCGTCATTCACACACTCCATCCATGTCTTCTTTGGTCGACCTCTTCCCCTCTACCTTGCACTACCATTTCCATATATCTCCTAGTCACATGCATCTTCTCTCTACGCATCACATGTTCATACCACGCTAATCACGCTAACATACATAAACACGATTAAAATATTATATTTAGAAAAACACACATACAAAGTACGCGTTCGTCACACGAATGTTTGCCAAGATCATTGGACTCACTTTTGACCTTAGATAACATAATCTTAAAGTATCGTCTTGTAACAACTAAAGATCTGACGTTTGTTTCAGGAAGGAATTAAGAGATAGAGATAGTCTGACACGTGATTTATAACAAAAAACTGTTTGAAATAAACTATCATTCCTCTAACGATAATAAATTAAGAGTTTAAAAAAACTAACAAAATACGCCTTTATAGAAAATCCAACTAAAAAATAGAAAATAAATTTTAATAAATTTAAATTAAAAATAGTGTAAGAAAAAATGATTTTATTGTAAAAAAGCGTGGGCTGCTTTTCAGGATATTACTGGTGGTAGGACCTCTTGTGAGTCCGTACGGGTAGGTACCACCACCCCACCTATTTCTGCCGTGAAGCAGTAATGCGTTTCGGTTTGAAGGGTGGGGCAGCCGTTGTAACTATACTGAGACCTCAGAACTTATATCTCAAGGTGTGTGGCGCATTTACGTTGTAGATGTCTATGGGTTCCAGTAACCACCAGGTGGGCTGTGAGCTCGTCCACAAATCTAGGTAAGAAAAAAAAAATCAAAATAACCCTTCAACTGCTGATACTATGCTTCCCACGCTTTTTACAATAAAATCATTGTTTCTTACACTATTTTTAATTCAAATTTAGTAAAATTAATTTTAAATTTTTTAGTTGAATTTAAATTTTTTCAATTTATTTTAAATATTATTGAATTGTCATGGGTCCTTAATAAGTACGAGGGCTGCACTAAAAGTATCGGGAATGGAATATTTCCACTGTTCCTGTCATATTAAAATCTTTTTAATTGAAAACTCCTTGGTTTTAAAAATCGAATACCATTTATTTATTTAAAATAAGATTCTCGGTCTTGTCACGAGGTTTTGTCAAACTTGTTTAGTCGTTGAGAAAATGGAATTGACTCGAGAAAATTCAAGAGCGATGATTTATTATGACTTTCGAAGTGATTTAACACAAAAACAGTGTGTTGACCGGATGATTTCTGCATTTGGTGATGAAGCCCCATCCAAAACCACAATTTATCGCTGGTTTGCTGAGTTTCANATTCAAGAGCGATGATTTATTATGACTTTCGAAGTGATTTAACACAAAAACAGTGTGTTGACCGGATGATTTCTGCATTTGGTGATGAAGCCCCATCCAAAACCACAATTTATCGCTGGTTTGCTGAGTTTCAACGTGGACGTGTCAAGCTCAGTGATGATCCCCGTCAAGGTCGTCCAAAAACTGCAGTCACCCAAGAAAACGTTGATGCTGTGCGTAACCTGATTGAGGAAGATCGACATGTGACATACCGCGAAATTCAGGCAACTTTAGACATTGGCATGAGTCAAATACAAATAATCTTGCATGAACAATTAGGTGTAAAAAAGTTGTTTTCCCGATGGATACCGCATTCGCTCTGTGAAGAGCAAAAAGCGGCTCCCGTTACTTGGTGCGTTAGAACTCTCGAAAGATTCCACGCAGGATCCTCAAATGCTGTATACGACATTGTATCAGGTAACGAATACTGGATATACGCGTACGAACCCGAAACAAAAAACCAGTCACGAGTATGGGTGTTCGAAAATGAGTTAAAGCCAACAAAAATTGTTCGTTCCCGGAGTGTTGCAAAAAAAATGGTGGCCACGTTTGTCTCCAAAACCGGCCATGTTACGACTATTCCTCTTGAGGGACAAAGAACGTAACCGTTCTTTTTTTATTTCATCGTCTCAAACTTTTTCGTCTGTGTGTTGCATGTCGCGTGACGGTCGGCCGCGGAGTAGGGTTAAAGTGAAAGGCGCTCGTCAGAGCAACCAAGGCCAAGGGTTTTTGTCAGTGTTTAATGTAAATGTTGTTTGTCAGAATTAAATGTCTATAATGTGCAAAACAGTTTAACTTTTACCGTGGTTTCATAAAACCACACAATTAACGTCCGTCTGGTGTAGTGGTAAATGACATGGTCACTACACTAGGGGGTGGTGGGTTCGAATCCCGTCAAGGGAAGATATTTGTATGATAAATATAAATGTATTTTCCAGGGTTATGGATGTATATTAAATATATGTATGTGTATAATAAAAATCTTACATTTATTTCCGATATCTGGTACCTGTAACACAAGTTCTTTACGAACTTATCACGGGAACAGTTAACGTGGCGTGACTGTTCGTAAAAAAAAAAACCTTTTTTTAAATACAGACATTAATTACTCTTTTTATTGCTGTTGAATAACGAGGAGCTTAAGGCTCACCCGATTCTTACTGTTTACCGCTGCCCTTACTACCTGTGATATCAGGAGCATATTTAAAATAGGAGCATAAAGGATAAGGTGTCCGGTGCATTCGTATTTAGCAATGCACCGGTGTTCAAATCTCGCAGGAGGGTACCAATTTTTCCAATGAAACACGTACTAAACAAATTGAATGTTCACGATTGACTTCCACGGTGAAGGAATAACATCGTGCTATAAAAATCAAACCCACAAATTTATAGTTTGCGTAATTACTGGTAGTAGGACGTCTTGTAAGTCCGCACGAGTAGGTACCACCACTCTGCCTATTTCTGCCGTGAGGCTGTACTGCGTTTCAGTTTGAAGGGTGCGCAGTCGTCGTACTGTAAAGACTGAGACAGCAGAACTCATATCTCAAGGTAGGTTGGTACTTAACTTACCACCACCTAACACCAGGTGGGCTGTGAACTCGTCCACACACATAAGCAAAAAAATAAAATACAAATTATTTTACTTCAACTCTGAAGAGGTAAGTGTTACAGCGTCGAGGGAACACGAGGGAAAAATGACTTAAGGAAATGCACTGTTCGTTTTGTGATAGATTTGTAGTAATAAGGGTTATACTCATAGCGTTAACGAACAGTACGCCGGTAAGAAAATTGGCAAACCCATTTTATGGTTTACGAATCGGCGATGAGGTTCACTCGGTCTGAGGAGAATCCATCGCCGTTAAGGCCCTAAGAGACTATTTGGGAGGCTTAAACGACAAAGATCTTCCACCAAGCGGGTGATATTTGCTCGGTATACCGACGGTCCAAATGTTGTTGTTCGGAACTTGTATATATGCAAGCTAATCTTGAAAATGTCGTAAGCGAGATACAGGCATCTGTCAAATATCTTGCGTTGTATGAGGGCTACCGCCACAACTATACGAACGTAAGTTGCGGCTCTTGGAGAAGGCAGCTTCCCCCAGGTAAGAGTCACGGGCCAATCTGAGGAGATGGAGGTCACGCGGCGTTCTACCAGCGTTCTGGCACACCGCTCAGGAGCGACATCGTACTATAAGAGCGATCGGTTGGCGTTGTATCGCGCCCTGGCCCGGCGGGCTGATTCCGACCCAGCGTGGTATCCCGGGACACCCACAGCAGAACCTGGGCGGCCTGACGGGCTGCCTTGCCGAAACTATTGACGTTCCAGATCCTTCGTTTCGCATCGAAGGCTCCGTACCCCGCGCGCCCGGTTTCAATCCTAAATACCACTGATGGGCTCCGGTGGTCTAATAACACCTGGTGGGACGTGTTCTCGTTCATCTAAGCAATGATAATTAAAAAAAAAAAACAAGACATTCGGTCTCTGTGATTTTACGTACGTTTTACAAGATAATGTTGTTTGATTCTTAAAAAATGCTGAAATTTTATCTTGAATGTGTCAGGTGGTCTTGAGAATTGACTTTATCAGTGTTACTCAATATTGTCAATCATACACGTCCAATGTTCAATACAAGCTAATGTTGATTTGATAAGCGATGTATGATGTACCGAGTTTTGTTAGTTCGTTGGTGTTGTTTCTTATCGGCAGTTGTCACTGAAAATGGATAGTGGGCTCGAAGGAAATATTGACAAGAAGTATAGTGAGTTACTTAAGGTCATGCTGAGTTGTAAACAGAATTTAATTTATTTAAATCCTTTAAAATATGTATAATGCTTAGCGGCTGAAGTATGATGCTACCTACCTGTATATCTTACCTACCGTATGTAGTATCTACCCACCTACCCTACAACCTGTAATAAAACAAATTAAATTCAAAAATTTAATTCTCAAAGGGATTCTCAATTAAATCCTCAAAAGAATTTGATTTTATTTGACGATATTACCCCTTCATGAATACGTGTTCTGTAGCATTCCTTTGAGAAATCGGTGATTGTTCCAGAATTTATATCCAAGTTTAATAGTATCATTTCAAACAACTACACTAGACATCAATCTATTAGGAAACGTATTTTTACAATTTCAAAATTACATTATTAAGTATTTCTGCTTTTTAAAAACTGTACACAATTTCAGAAGCACTATTTGGAATTCGTCATGTTCAGGCCGTTCTTCTGTTCCTTGGACTACTCCTCGCTTACGGTATGAGGGCCAACATGAGCATCGCGATTGTGGCTATGACTGACAAAGACAATGATAATGTAAGTCCAGTAATGAATGATTCATGCAAGTACTTGCAATGCATTAAACGTGGAAACTATAAATTAGATTCTATAAACACTTTACATGAAATATCAACCACATTAAAACCCTACAGTCATACATACTGTTTAGACAGGCGCAGTAATTGTGAATAAGCCGGTGACTAAAATTCACCATACAATGTGGAAAATTTGTTTATCATCATTTATTGTAAATAATTTGGCGTAAATCAAGTAGGTATGCCGTTTTTTTTGCTTACCTGTGCTGGTAACCTCGAGTGGTTATACCAGCTTCTCCGGACGTGTAGGTATGCTCACAGGGCTCAGCTAGGCGACTTTGCTAACACTAGCTTTAGCAAGAACAGTGCTTCGCAGGATCTACCCCTGGATCGGAATTGCGATCTACTGAGAAAATCCGGTGAGAAACTCAGTGAGCTGTATCTGAAGGTCGATTTGCTCGCCGAATCCTTAATATACCGTTCTGTGCTGTTCTGCCTATGTACGTAAAGTATGTAATTAAAATTTACAGAGTTTAAAGAATTGAGACGGTTACCGAACACACACTCACAGGCATAATGACCTCCTACTGAAATGATAACACCCAATGATCTCTCAACACTTGTCCGCAACATAATTCGACACTTGAAAAGCAAACGTGACGAAGCGATAATAACTGCTTTATACATAAATGATAGGCAATAACCATATTCGATGCACAAAAAAAAAAAACTTGGTCTATTAAAATCATTTCAATCCTACAGCTAGATTCGTTAAAATAATTTTTTTTTCAGGTATTGCAAGTTTAAATTAGTCTACTGTAAAGTTCACGCATTGTCGCTTAGTCACGTTTGCCTTTCAAGCGTCGATATGTTCACGACTTTACCTAATCTATCTGAAGAAGGAGGTAGCCTGGAGATCAGTAATACAGGTCTTTGAACCTAGTACAGACTTCAGCTTTTCCAAAAACTTACAAAATAAATTATAAGGTTAATTTCTAGTTGCGTACTATACCTTTAAAAGAGAAATAAATAAATTATAATTATCATTATTACTACCGAACCCTATTTATATCAATCACTAAGTTAAAGCTGGCACCCACATTGACTTAATCTGAATTGCGCGTTTTTCTTTCCTTATCAATTTCAGTTTTACGACTGGAGTATGCAGACCCAAAGCGTAATCCTGTCCTCGTTCTTCTGGGGCTACATCGTCTTCCAGATCCCTGCTGGTGAGATGGCTGCTAGGCTTGGAGGTTCGATACTGATCACAATATCCATGGCCATCAATTCACTTGTCTCAGTATTGATACCCCTCGCTGTAAATTACGTGAGTCGGAATATAAAGAATAATTAAATATAACCATATAATAAAAAAAACATTGGTGAAACAAACAACAAAAAAAAAAAAAACCACAAAGATGGTGGCAATCTCGAGAGGCTCATCGTGACTGGTAAGGTACATGGGAAAAGACCTCGGGGGCGCAGCCCAATACGTTGGTCCGACCAGATCCCCACCGCGCTTGATTCCACGTTTCACATCGCCCTCCACACTGCCAGACAAGAATGGATGGAGAAAGATCGTGCGTGCGAAGGTGATACAAAAGGGTGGTCACGACCCTCAGCAATGAGGAATACGACGGAAGGAGGAATAAAAAAAAAACATAAATTAGATAGAAAACACAGATCGAAGTATTCAATAGTTCTTCAACTATTTTATAATCGTCGACAAACTGTCTTATATGTAATGCTTCGACAATTTTTACCAATAACATTCAAACCCTCTCTCTCTCTCTCTGTCACTTTGATAAAATTGTTTGGCTTCATAGCACAGTTGAAACGACTTTTTCCATTATTCCCATTCCTAACATAATTTAGGTGAATAACACAGAGCAGGTCGTTTACCAAATGAAAAGGTCAAAGCGATTGTAAACTAATTACATTGTGTACAGATTGTTCTCGGCTTCTTCAAAATGTAAATAAATTCTAATTAATTGTCGTTTCGTTACTTTAACATTTAAATATCACAAGGTTAACCGGTGAAACATGACGAATAGAAAGTTTAATAATCCTTATATAAGCCTAATATGCTTAGGACTACTATTGGATTTTGTAAATGGTCAAATTACAGATCAAGTTTTGAGTATAATAAGTACCAAAATAAAGCTCTGAACGGTGATGTGTGCCTCTATTGTAAATATAAGAAGAATGCCCGAAATATCAATGCATTTTTCAAACGTTTGTACTACTAGATGGAAGTTCAGATCTCATTAAATTAATTTATTTATATTTCTCAGGGCGGATGGCAGTGGGTTTGCTTGTGTCGCGTAATCCAAGGCTTATCACAAGGCTTTATTGTGCCTTCGATCAATACTCTTATTGGCAAATGGGCGCCTATTGAGGAGAAGAGCCGGTTAGGAGCTTTAATATATTCCGGCAAGTTTATTTATGTTAAGTTAAGCATATATTTACTAACTATCACGCCACGTTAACTGGTCCCGTGCTAAGTTCGTAAAGAACTTGTGTTACAGGTACCAGATAACGGAAATAAATGTAAGATTTTTATTATACACGTACATATATTTAATATACATCCATAACCCTGGAAAAGGCATTTTATATTTATCATACAAATATCTTCCCTTGGCGGGATTCGAACCCGGCAACCCCTTGTGTAGGCACCATGTCACTTACCACTACACCAAACGGCCGTTAACTACATATAAAATAAGATAAGTATATGGTATTTAGGATCCAGGAAACGAAAACTGAATATACTTAAGTCAAAGGCAACCGTTGTGCATAGAGTTGTAATATGACGACGTGTTCGTGTGCCAGCTATTTTAACACTGTTTATAAGTGTCCATGTGTATGAAACAGAATCATTTGAGAAAGGCTCAACTGATTTAGCTTATTTGCTTTGTATTCGTAGCTATCAGTGGAAGGTTTGTATGAAAGAATATATTTAGAATATTTATAGTCAATATTTATATAAATTACAAGTTCAATTAATACGATTTGAAATTCATAGTAACTTTAGGAAATAAGGCAAAGTTTGAGAGATCTGTTGTTAGTCTAAATTTATTTATAGCAAATATTGTTGAACGAGCTCACGGCGCACCTTGTATTAAGTCGTAGCCGAAGCCCATAGACATCTATAACATAAATGCCACCACCCGTCTCTAGACATGATTTCTCGATTTTAACGGTACAACGGCTTCAAGCCGAAACGAATTACTGCTTCACCGCAGAAATAGGTGGGGTGGTGGTGCCTAACCGTGCGATCTCACAAAATGTCCTACCACCAGTAATTTACAGTAAAGTGCATTAACAGGGTGACTATAATCATCCCTAAATCATTTATTTATTGACAAATCATAATAATTATAAGCGTTTTTTCAAGCACAAACTCGGTATTGCACCGTGTCGTTTCATTGCGGCATGACAAAATATAAACCAACAAACATTAAGCCTTAATGATAACATATTGTATAATTTGAAGTATCAAAAATCTATAGTAAATATAACCAAATATCTGCTTTCAAATGTAGATAAGTAAACAAGTATCTTGAATATTACCTGATGCTTCGAGCAAATTTTCAAGTAACAATCTCACTGGCGCCTGATGACGGTGGACCGGTGGTCGTCGTTGCTAATCTGTATACAACAATATGATTTCAGGAAGCCAATTAGGCAATGCTTTTCAACTGATAACGGCAGGCTTTATAGCTGATGCCTGGGGCTGGCCAGCAATTTTCTACGCCAATGGTGCAATTGGAGCTGCTTGGACGGCTATTTATATATTCTTGGGATCTGATTCTCCTGAAAAATCGAAAATAATTGGAAAAGAAGAAAAACTTTATATACAGAGCTCTTTAGGTCAAGTTGGAGAACCAAAGGTAACTAACTAATTTATATTTTTATTGATGTCGGTGGGTTTACAGCAAGAAGTCGCGTGATTTGCATTAGTTACCGACAGCTATACGCGCCGGAAGCTTTACAACGTAATGTTAAGATTAGCCGTGAGATTTAAGGTCTAAGTCTTAAGTACATTCAAATCAGGCTCTTGCACTCTTCAAATGGAAATACGGGGCTATTGCCATTGTTGTGCGAGGTACTAGGTGAAAGATGACAATAACCTACCTCAGTAGCATAGTATTAGTAAATAAGTTTTCAATTGGACATTTTTTACTAATAGCTAAAAGTTAATAGGACAAGAAGACGTGGGGAAGTATAGTGCATCGAGTGGTGAGCGTTTTAAGCTAGACACGACCTTCAGCAATGAAGAGATCGACTCAGAAGAAGAAGAACAACTACAAGTAAATGCTATTCGTTCTACAATGAAATCAAACTTTTTGTTTTAAAGTAAGAATTTTTCAGAAATACAAAACACCATGGAAAGAGATTTGGACGTCACTCCCATTCATATCACTAATAGTACTCCACTGTGGACAAAATTGGGGTTTCTGGACTCTTATGACGGAGATGCCGTCATACATGAAGCAGATTTTGGGCGTTGATATTAAAGCAGTAAGTATGTTGATAGACAAACTTTTCCAATGAAGTTTCGTACCTACATATTTCTAAGCAAGCAAACAAATCCGGCCTCTACTGTGAAGCTGCTCGCTTAAACTAATGGCGTGCACAAGTAATATACGAAGGTAATTCCATAAAAATATTATCTGACCTTCCCACACCAACTCTACTCTTAATCTATACTAATATTATAAAGCGGAAGAGTTTGTTTGTTTGTTTTAACGCGCTAATCTCAGGAACTACTGGTCCGATTTGAAAAATTATTTATTGTTATATAGCCCACTTATTGAGGAAGGCCATCTAGGCTATATAACATCACGGTAAGACCAATACAAGTGGAGCACCGATAAAGAATTTTTCAAAATATTTTCATTTTCTAGGTAAACGAAGTGGGGGGTAAAATTTAGCGTTATGCCAAAGTAACTATTCCACGCGGATGGAGTCGCGGGCAAAAGCTAGTAATAAAGAGAATCATCCACAAACGCATCAATTAAGAACAAACAAAAACACGTTTTCTTGAATATGTAGCAGAATTTATTTAATTTCAGAACGGAGTAATGTCAGCCCTTCCATACTTAGGCATGTATATTCTTAGTTTCCCATTCGGGTTCCTAACCGACTATCTACCCAACAAGAAGCTGCTGAGCGTAACTGCCACCAGGAAATTATCTAATTCAATAGGTAAATTCTTCATAAGTTCTAACTTTTTTTGTCAATAACAAAAACAATAAGTTCAGTGGTAATTTAAGAAATATTCCCTTGTGGGATTAAAGAAAGCCTCTATTTTAATGTAATTTGAACTTCGTCGTCTGTTGGAATGTCTCGTGGTACAAAAATAAAGCATACTGCTGTCACAGGCAAAAATAAGAAGAATTAGACCGAGACCAAGGACTTAGACTCGTATCCTTAAATTTTTGACGATAGTCACGAGAGATCAGCAGCCCGGAATTTGACATCTACGAGAAACTGTTTAAACCTCCTATAAATTCAAAGAATAGCATAAGTTAGGCGATAAAATTAAATAATTTTGCACAACCTAAATGTTTGCAGAGCTGTACCGATATCGATGACCATTGTCAATGTGATCGTCACATACGACAACATTTTTTTTTTTGTTGTGAGTTGAGTACTGGTCAAAATCACATTCGAAAAAAGATCAACTACACCTAGACTTCAATTAACAAATATATATGAAGAGGTTGATCTTTGTTATCGAATCAGAGTCTCGTATAGCTGCTTTATATGGAATAATTGTTAGGGTCGCTAGAAAAAATTAGACCAACGAGGCACTACCTTGCCTGATGACATCGGCCACTGTGTGGTCACAGACGGTTGCATCTCAAATTGATATTGGGTGTTGGACGGTTCCAGGATTTTATGGTCCAGCCATAGCTCTCGTAGCCCTCTCATACTCGCCAGCTGGTGATATCATGATAGCTGCTATTCTTCTTACTATTGTGGTTAGTCTAAACGTTGGACATGTGACTGGATTAATGGTGGGTATTCCGAAAAAATATTCAAAATATTTCAATTAGCGTAGTAAACAGAGGAAATTAATTAATGACATTATATTTAATTGAATATGATTGGTTGGGGTTATTACAATTTCATGAATGGTTTTTTTATTGTAGACCCACCGGAGTTAAGTTGTTACCTGAGTTCAAAACAACTCTAAACAACTTTTTACTGGTGGTAGGACCTCTTGTGAGTCCGCGCGGGTAGGTACCACCACCCTGTCTATTTCTGCCGTGAAGCAGTAATGTGTTTCGGTTTGAAGGGTGGGGCAGCCGTTGTAACTATTCTTGAGACCTTAGAATTTATACCTCCAGGTGGGTGGCGCATTAACGTCGTAAATGTCTATGGGCTCCAGTAACCACTTAACACCAGGTGGGCTGTGAGCTCGTCCACCCATCTAAGCAAAAAAAAAACTATATCGAATATCTATGCAATGATGTCACCAATCTTCAGGTCTGGGGTCGAGTTAACAACTAAATAGCATACCGGTTCTGCTACGCATCAGCATCTGCGACGATTCAAATCAAAACGTATGCCTGGCTTACAGTGGAAATAGCTTAACTACCATTTCATTACCACTTTATTGATACTTTCACCATCTCTTTAAGACCAACATCAGATGAACTGTAAGCTCGCTTCCATATCTATTATAGTGGATAAAAGTTTTTATTTATGAACAGATTGTGCACTTAGACATGGCGCCCAACTTCGCCGGCACCTTACTTGGCATTACAAACTGTGCTGCCAACATTGTATCCGTCATAGCGCCGCTAGTCGCAGGAGCAATTTTAAAAGATGAGGTGAGCTAGTTTTTTATTATATTGGAAAAGTAGATTAAGTTAACGACGCACCAAGTGCTAAGTGGTCATGGATACCCTAAATTGCATACTATAATTCACCTTGATATCGGAGATATGGGAGCACGAGGAGTCAAAGTGCAACCTTGTTCGCTCCACCAAATCAAGATCGATCACTGCCTCGTAGCTGATGGAGATGATGGTAGCCTAAAATATATACAAATGATTCACACATCATTACGTCTGCCACCAATACACACTCGAATGAGCTCCATGTTATTGTGTATCCTAAACTTTTGATAATTCATTCTTAACTATTTATCTATAATCCTAAAATTTATTAAAAATGTTAATTAGAGTGTGACACTAGTCTACGTTCCTTAAGTTCAGGAATGTAAAAAATTCTAATCATCTATTTATTTATTTTTTTCAGACAAACCCAGCCGATTGGCGTAAAGTCTTCTACGTAGCCTCGGCTGTGTATATCGTCTCAAATACTTTCTACTTAATTTTTGGAACAAGTGAGAGGCAGAAATGGAACGAACCCAATGATTCGAATGGTTCGTATCTTAATTATCGACTATGATCTGCTTACTTCAAACGAGGTTTGAAAAGAGTCTTCATCGACAGACAGTAGCTTGGTTATGCCCCTAGCTTTGCTGATATCTATGAGTAAGCATAATCGATCACCTCCCGATGACCCGTATGCTTGTTTGTGTCCAGAAGAAGAAAAAACCTAATTGTGGTTACCGCCTTGACAAATAGGTCACGACATGACATGAAAGACTCAGATGCCTATCAAATCTGATCACGCCATGGCTTAGTGTCGTAAATGGGAAGTACAGTTGTATCAAGACGCACGGGCTTACAATACGCTCTACTACCAGTGCTCTGCTACCAGTACCGTGAATAATTACATATTAGGTTGAGATAAATTGTGCGGGAAGAGATTATGATCAGACCCATGTGTTTTCTAATTAATGAGCGAAATGACTAGTACTACCACTTAAACTAGTCTAGTAATTGCAATTGATGACAATTTTCAATCCGCAATAATAAGGAACTTGAATTATGTGAAAAACACCCGACAAGATTTAGATTACTGAAGTTAAAAATCTTTTCTTTCAGATAAAACAATGAAAAAACAAACAGCAGCTTGAAACAATGATCATTTCTCATTTAACACTTTTACTCTTTTTATGAATAAATAATATTTCAAGATAATTACGCTTTTCATTTTTCCATTAACGGAAAAGATTACGAAAGGAAAATTAATTACAAAACTTTTAAAGCTTCTTCGTTTTGCTGCTCTCTTTCAGTATGAGGATCAGCATGAGCACCGCTATTATGGCTATGACTGATAAAGATAATGATAATGTAAGTTTCATAATCAACAACCAATGTTTTATTCATTAGCTTGGAATGCACTTATTTAATTTTGTGCGTGGTAAAATGTCGAAACGTCCCGCTGTGACCTGCTACGTGTCAGTTTCAGTATAAATACCCACAGCCGCGCATTTTATGAGTCGGATATTTATTAAGACAAATGGATAAAATCTTACCATATTTTTTATATATCTATTTACTTGTTTGTTTCTTTATATATTTATTTATGTATTCAAGAATTATTAGGGGTTATAGTATGAAATTGCCAATTTGTACTGAAAAATTAAAATTCGTTTTTTTTTTTTTTTCATTTAGCATATTTATTTAATCAAAATATCTACCATTATCATCCATACATTGCTACCATCTAAGAGGAAGGTCATTTATACTTTTTCGACATAACTCTGGTGATCTAGATTCTACAAACTGTGTGAAAACATTTTGTACTGCCTCGTGGAAAGAAAACTTTTTATCACGTAGAAAATTGCCAAATCACGAAAAAAATGCTAGTCCATTAGAACAAGGTCTGGCGAATACGAAGGGTGACAAATGGTTTTTAATTGCAGTTCCTGTAGAGTTAAAACGGTTTCTCGTGCGGTCTCGTGAGGTCTCACGTTATCATGGAGCAATACCGGCGAAGATCGATTCATGAGTCGGGGCTGTTTCACTGCAAGTTTTGCTATCATTGTTCGGAGTTCGGCACAGTAGATATCTGCCATTCTTGCTTGACCAGATCGGAGAAAGCTATAGTGACCATGATAACACCATGCTGAGACCACCAAACAGTTACCATTACTTTTTTGTTGGTAAGCTTTGCTTTAGGACACTGTTGCGGCGTTTGAACTGGGATCAGCCATTGCATTTTTCGCTTACGGTTATCGTAAAAAATCCACTTTTCATCACATATCACAATTCGATCCGATATTCCTTCATTTCTGTATCGATTTAACAAGGCAACACAAGTTTCAATACGCGTTTCTTTCTGCAGATCAGTCAAATCATGAGGCACCCATTTTACATATTTTTTATTTTATTAATTCTACGCAAATGAGTCAATATTGTTGGTAAGGTAACGTTAAACCGTGCCGCTAAAACGTGGGTAGTTTGGCTCGGATGCGCTTTCACCATCTCTTTCAATTCATTGTTATTCACGTGTGTGGGCGATATTCCACGTGGCTCGTTTTTCAAATCAAAATTTTCATCACGAAAGCGTTTAAACCAAAATTGCACGGTGCGTTCATTAGCAGTACCCTCTCCAAACGCAACATCGATATTGCGAGCTGTTTCTGCAGCGTTAGTTCCGCGTCGGAACTCCTATTAAAAAATCACTAGAATTTTCGAAGTATCCATCTTTCTTGTTTAAGTTGAACAAATAAAACAACTAAAAGTCGAAAATCTAATGTTGCCCATTTTTTAAAAGAAGAACCTCATAATTATCATTTGAAAAATGTTTCACTCGAAAATCTCAAACCATGAAGGTTCTGTTCGAAGTAATATTACAATAGAACGGCAATTTCATACTTCAACCCCTATTATATAGTAGTAGATAAATTCCACTTGGACCGTGAGCTCTTTAACTCATCAGCTCAAGAACAAATAAATAATTAAAAACTTCCTTTTTCATAAGACTGGATTTTCGAATAAGAAGCAAGATAAACTAATTTTGAAACTGAAAAAAAAGTTTTATCCGTAAGGAGTGGTCTCAAAGCGTCCTGAGATATTATTTATTACATAATACTCCACTAGTTCCCACTTGCAATATAGAACGTACATATTTAAATATAATCAGATAAACTACAGTTTACGTACGAGATAAATCATATCAATAACATTTTTTGTCAAACTGAAAGCGGGGTGGGAGTTGTCTAATCTCAAATCATAACCTCCCGGATGAGAAGTACGCAATATAATACCGCTAATCTATAACTCTAAATGTTGATAAATTTTATCATGACATTATCTGTTAGGTAATCTTAAGATAAGCTTTTGTTTAGATAAGATCTTTATCAAGATTAGCGTTATTTACGAATTGTATGGGAGATTCCTAATTCGATTTGGAACACAGTTGACCAAAATACAAGCTTACTGAACCTATACATATTATGGCAAGAACTGATTTTTAACATAAAAAAGAAGCCCACATCAATGTTATAATACACATAGTATATATAAATATAAATACTTTTTAAATTAACCACAATTTTTATCTATAGTCTTATTTCTAGTTGGGTACTCTTGGTAGGTTAGTCGTGGCTTACGATGGGGTGGGTTGCGTTTGGTTGTCGACGCTTTAGCAAGAGAAATACGAGAACATCTATCAACTGTGAAGCATCTCGTCACCGCGATTCAGGAATTGTTGAATTTACGTGCAGCGACCTCTGTCGATAACAAACTAAATAGAAAAAATCTTACGTTACGGACGCTTTTTCCCGGTTAGGGTACCCCTCCACATCGTCCCATAAGGAACTTCGTTCCAAAAATCATTCATTTTCTATCAAAATTCCGAACTACTTCAATTAATTATATTACATTTAAATTACGAAAGCTTAAACATCGGTTTTTTTCAGACAAAATAACGAAACAACGGTCGGCGACGTGAACAACCACTCGTTAACCTCCAGCCGGTTTATGAATAATAAATTATACAGGAAAAAAATGGTTTGTAATTGTACATTTTTCTAATTAACTGATAAATGCAAATAATATGTTGCAAATTTGATTATTTATTGCCAAATGAAAATTTATTTTATGAAATTGTGATTTAATTCTCTTTAGCTCACCAAAGTCTCGATATAGAAGTAATACAATTGGTCGAAGCTTGAAATACACCTTAAGTC